TTCATTCCCAAATTTGATGGTCAATGTCTAGCTTACCTTCGTTTTACCGAAGTTTGATCATGCATCTTCTAATCTCTTTCCACACTAACCATTATGCCGCGATATTTCATGCCTTATTTGGTTCCTGGACTCATGCATTTTTATTAAGCCGGATCATTGTTTTTATTGCTTCAAAAAACATTGCTTGCATAGTTTGCCATCATTAACTGTTTTAACGAGTAATTTAATTTCCATTTCTGATAATATTTCGTTGTAGCTAATTCTGTTTCCGGTGGATTGTTTGGTTCACTCAAAAATACCGTATCAACCACATCAGCTACGGTACCCACTGGATCCTTATTTGGTCTTCCGTCGACTACCACTAGCACTGGCACCACTGTGACCCAAAGTGTTGGGCTATTTGGCACAGCAGCAACTAAGACCCCAGCCACTACGCCTCAGTTATCTACAGGCGGATTGTTCAGTTTTTTGTCAACCCAGGGGGCGGGAAATTCCGGATCAGATGGTCTCTTTGGAACAAGTAGTCTCTTCGGAACAGCTACTACCTCTACCGCGTCGACGTTAACTGCTACGTCCACCAGTGTCACTGCTACGTCAGTCACCTCTTCGCCCGCAATCAGCGCTACTACGACCAGCACAACCGGAGGTTTATTTGGAAGTAGTTTCAACACATCCGGTATAACGACCACAGGGCTGTTTGGAGCTAGCAACACGATCGCGACCCCATCTACCGGAGGACTTTTCGGATCTTCTACAGCAAGTGAGTCAATGTTTGCAGTACATGTATGTGGTTCTTCTAGGGAAGAAGTGGTCATCGAATAATGATGCTCGGTGATGTTTCGTGTTTGATTGATGTTTTTTCTGTTTCAGTTTTATTACGTCTCAGTGTTTGAGCATAGGTTTAGTCATTTCTGAAGAAAAGACCGCCAGAGTTGTGGATACTCTTTGACACGGGGGAAACCGTCACAGGATCCACCAGAGCTACCTCATGTAGTGTAACGGTTCGAACTAAGGATCAGCTATTTTCGCTTCCCTCGAGCCATAATTACTGCTATGATTTGCTCGGTTCCTGTTAAATAATAACCATTTTCAAACTATTTTTCTTGTCCGATTGCTATGCATTTTTCCGGCATGGACTGTTTTTCGTGTGTGTTGAACATACTGCTTTGGTTTATTTTCGCCGTCCGTTTTCTTACACTTATAAGGCGTCTTGAGTGACCCCCGGTGTATAGTTCCACCACCATTTAGTTAGCAATCGTTACTTTTTTGCTTCTGTGATGCCATTTCGTGCATACTAACTCATACCGAACAACATACTGTAACACGTGTTTTTTTGTGTGGATATGCTCAGAAAACATTATTGGATACAAAACACAGAATAGGTTCACGCATTTACGGTAACATCGTGATACTACCGTAACTGGTCCACGTGTTGTATCAAGAAACGTCACATGATGTGGTTCCCTTCGGTGTGGATTATTTAAATTCACTAGTTCACTGCTGTGGCTTTTATGATTGCTACGTTTCTCGTCAGTCTGTTTTCAAACTGTGCCTGGAGGATCCTAGTGCAAACTTCTGAAACTAAAGGGTTTGGTCCGTAAGTTTTTTAAGAATGGAAATTACTAGCTTGCCCAAGCAAAATCAAACGATTTTTGCAGGTGCCAAAGCAGAGCTTTTCATCTTACCGATATTGTTCACTCATCAAGGCTGACTGTGGCACATTATATATATATATATATATATATATATATATATATATATA